CGGCGTCATAGTCGGCCAGCATTCATGCATCTGTTGGCAGTAACAAATCACTCATCGAGGCCGATCGTACCCCTCTCTTCTCGCCCTCAGCCATCCAGGGACCACTTGTGGCTCAGCTGTGAAGCACATGCAGGGTCCTTGAGCTCATTCTTGCGCCACTTTACGCACCAGACCGCTGACATCTTGATCTGAGTGGCTCATACTTCGTGTCGGCACGTTTGAAAGTATATTGACGAACCTGTTGTGGTATAGACGCGTGCGTAATGGGCCAGGATGTGGACGTCAGATCAACGGGACGCTCGGCACAGTCAAACAAGCTTCCTTGGTAAAGCTTAGCCTCGCATGACGGAGCGTCTAGGCTCGCGAGCTGAGGGGCTGCGCCTGCAAGAGGTTCCAAATACTCATTGGACAGTACCACAGAATGCGAAACGAAAGTTGAGTTCTCTTGCCAATACTGTAGCCTGGCCTCAGGTAGGATACCTAGGTAGTTGGGGTTGTTGCTTGTTCCGTGGTAGAAAGCTTGGCTAGTTAGCGCGCGATCATCTCCCGAGTCTCAGGTGCTCCAACTCCACCATGTACTCAGCCACAACCCCATCTTCGCGACAACATGCCGGGCCGACTCCCCACGAAAGCTGACTTTCCATCGTCGGTGACCTTGAGCATCACGCCACGTATGTCGCAATCTCCAGAGTCGCTCTTACCCTCGCTAACTCGTGCAGCGCCGGCTTCGCAACCACCCACGAACATCTTGATCCTCCTACACGGCCTCGGCGACACGAATGCGTCCTTCACGAAGCTCGGCGAGCAGCTGAACCTCCCAGAAACAGCATGCATTGCGATACAGGCGCCGAACCCTCTGCCGTTCGATCTCGGTGGAATGCACTGGGGTGAAGACATGATCTTTGACTCCACCACGGGCGAAATGGATATGGATACCGGCGTCCAGAAGTCGACACTTCTGGTCCTAGATCAAGTCATTCGCGAAGGTCTCATCGGCAAATGCGGCTACAAAGCGCGCGAGATCATGATCTTTGGGTTCGCGCAAGGCGGCATGGTCGCACTGCAGGCTGCTGCCCAGCTTGAGGAAGAACTAGGCGGGGTCATCAGTATCGGAGGACCTCTATCACAATCAGTGCCACTGAAGGCTTTGGAGAAGAAGAGTAAGACACCAGTGCTGATCTGCAAAGCAGACAAGAAGTCTGCGGTCACCGACAGTGCAACTACAAAGCTGAAGGATGCTTTCAGCTATATCGAGTTCAAAGAGTGGAAGAAGAACGGTGACGGCATGCCGAGCAGCCGTGACGAGATGCTGCCCATCATGCAGTTTTTTGCTCGTCGGCTCCGTAGTACCAGGGGAGTTCCGGCAGGTAGCGTCGAGATCGGATAGACACGTCAGGGAAGATATCGCGGGATGTTTTGTCGAGGTCAGTCAAAGCCTCCATGCGCCACCACGCGCATGCGGCGCCTTTCCAAGTGCTGGGTAGGTAGCAAAGCAAGGACACCAAAGAATACAATCGGCTCCCCAATCATCACGCGATCTGGACATGAAAAATCCCACACCAACAATTAATCAACGTCGCTTGCCCACCACATTCCCGTCATCGCGCCTTCGTGCCTTCGTGCCCTCGTGATGCATGTGTCGTGGTCCGAGCGCCTTCTACGTCACTTCCATTCTTGAACACCATTCGCTCGTCGTCTTCCACCCTCCCGAAACCTACACACGTCTCACCGCTAAACACAGTCATGGCGGTGCCGAGGAATTCTTTGCGAGCCTTTCTTACACACGCGAGAGGCGCTCTCCGGAGCGCCATTGAAACTAGCCAGAAGATTACATTCGTCATTGGCAATGAGTCTGCGGGTGAGCATGACTCCTGCTCCACAATGGCGCTGCATACTCATGAAATGCAGACCTTGATTCGATGTCATGTTCCATTTTGTACGCATACCTCCGGTCCATGTCGCCGCCCAAAAATGCCTTTAGCCCACTTTACGTACCAATCACAAATATTCCAGCGTCCGATATCCAGCTACGACCGGAATACTTGGCCGTATTCAAGCACGCCAATATTGAGTCAAAGCACTTGATCACGTTGGATGACCTTCCCGCCCTGTCAGACATACAGTCGAAGCTCGCGCCTGAGAATACCAAATGGATCTTGGTAGACCACAATGCGCTGCAAGGCCAATTGGGCAATATCTATGCAGAGCGTGTCGCTGGTGTTATTGATCATCATGACGACGAGAAAAAAGTACCGGAAGACACAGGCGACGAGCCGAGGATAATCGAGAAGTGTGGCAGCTGCACTAGCTTGATTGCAAACTACTGCCAGCCATCATGGGACATGGCTTCCGCGTCTGCCTTGTCTTCGGGGGCAGCCCACGCCCAGGGTGACAGCATGTCCAACGACGCTGCCTTTGTCAAGCGCTGGGATGCAGACGTCGCCCAGTTGGGACTGGCCAGCATTCTCATCGATACGGCCGATCTCCACGACGAGAACAAAACGACCGAGCATGACCGTAAGGCTGTCGAGTACCTGGAAGCTAAGATCATGCTCTGTCCCCCGCTGGCTGCAAGCTTCGACCGCGCCAGCTTCTACAAGGAGATCAACGCAGCAAAGAAAGACATTGGAAGTCTAAAGCTGCACGACATACTTCGGAAGGATTATAAGCAATGGGACCAGGGTGGCCGAAAGCTCGGTGTTAGTTCTGTTGTCAAGCCTATAGAGTTTCTCCAGGAGAAAGCTGGCGACGAAGCAAGTGCCCAGGCATCCGACGCCTTCCTCAAAGCGTTGGAGGATTTTGCAAGGGAGCGTGAGCTGGACATGTATTCCCTGATGACCACATCGTCGGGTGCAGATGGGCAATTCCAGAGAGAACTGTTACTATGGGCCTTCAACGACGGCGCCGTGTCGGCTGCCAAAACATTTGCCACGAATTCAAAAGATGAGTTGGGATTGGAGGACTGGCAGGGCTCCGACGACATTGACAGCAAGAGCGAGTGGAGAAAGACTTGGTGGCAGCGACAAGTGCAGCACAGTCGGAAACGTGTCGCCCCTCTACTCAGGGAAGCCATGCCTTGACTATGGGTTCTGGGCAAGCTGTGATGGAGTCGCGGAGGCAGCGATCGGGTACAATGGTGCCGGCAGAGCGCTACGCTGGCGCGTTGGTGTCGGATTAGCGGGGATCGCCACGATTTCGCATGTCTTGCATTGTAGATAGGCGCCTAGCAGCGATTGGGCAGGGCAGCCGTCAGCCCAAATGCCGTTGGGTAGAGTACGTGGAATGGCCATGGGTACCTGAAGAAGGAGCGGTCTGTATGCGGCAATCGTGTGGCGGGGTATTACACGCGACCGGCAGATGGTCGACGATCTCCGATAGCCAGCTGGAAACGAAACATGTTCAGTGTAACATTTCAACGCCCACGCAGGATATTCTTATCTCGTAATATTACGATCGCGATTGAGTTGCCATGCACCAGGATATAGCGGCAGACGCACTGCGACTGCAAACATGCAAAAGGAACGAAGCTCCGCAGCGACTGCAGCGATAGCCCCAAGCAGGAGATGCTGCAGAGAGTTTAGTATGTGGTGTGACGGTGCGGCTCATTGGATGGCGGCTGGATATGCATGGCGGAGTGATGAATGATGTCGAGGATTGCGAGGCACTAGGCATGCACTGGGAGATGAATGGGAAAACATGGGTTCACAGCGGTGCAGCGCGATGCTTTGGCGTGCAGCATGTTGCATGGCATGGTCCTTTTTGACAGCCATGCGCTGGCAGCGCAGGGAAAGAGGGCGACTCCACTCGCCGGCCGTCACGTCAGGAGGGCGAGCAGAGCTGCGCGCAGGCGATTAGCTGAGGGGCGTCGTCTGTATTGGCGCTGCAGCTGCAGCGCCGAAGCGTGTTTGAGAGTTTACGAGTTGCTCTGCTCGTGAGGGCAGTGTGCCGTGGTGAAGGGAGGAGGGGTAGCGTGGAGGGGCGGTCGCAGAGGCGGCCAGCGATACCGCCTAGTCTCTCTATGGCGACATCAACACGGCCAGCACCAGCGGCGGGAGAGCGTCGCCGAAGCTTCTACCAGAGCGACGACGGCGCCGATCCAAAGCATGCGTTGTCGACGAGTCTCTGTGCGAGGCGGGGATGGCTGGTGTGGGAAGGCGAGGGTCTGAGCTGAGGCATTCGGCGGGCTGGTCCTCATTCGTCCCACTGCGATGTGCTGTTCCTGCAAGTCATCGCCTGGACGGCTCCATGGCGACATGGAGGCCGTGGGCAAGTCTGGCGGTCTGGCACGGCCACCAATCTGAAGCAGCTCCCCCGCTGTATTTCGCACACGGTATGCTCTCTAGGCGGCTGGCGGCTTAGCAGTAGTATGGGATTAGTCGGGGGCCGTTGAGCTGCAGTCGTGACTTGTTACAGGGACTCGAGGACGAGGCCCAATCACGCTTCTTTTGCCTCGCTTCTGTATCATTACCACCTAAAGAGTCAAGACGCGCCAGCGCATACGTCGAGCGCGGTGGAGAGGGCGCGCCCAAAGCAGTTCTTCTTCTCCCAAGACTACCGCCCCATCTGGCAATGCCGTAGGGGATCTCTGCCACCTTCTTGAGGTCCGCACCTTCCGTAGGGCTTCCATGGGGCTCTCTCATGGCGACATGATGCGACGAACCCAACTCACAGCCTCGCCGGCGCAGGCTGGCAACACTCCGCGTAGGTGCCCATCTCCCTCCCCGTGCTCTGCTATCCCCCCCGTGCGCGAGCGCGTCTCCGGCCAATAGCTGGCGCGGGCATCAATGCGCTGCTCTGTGCATGTACGATGAGCTGGCAGGCGAGCCGACGCTGACTTTCTCGTAGCCGTGTCGCCCACCGTCACCCATGTGTCGTCCAGATGCCACACGCCCTCGCACACTACTTCTCAAGTCGACGACCCGCCCGCTGAGGCTCCGCCTAGGTCTCACAGCCCGCCCAGGTCGCCCTCACCTCGCGCTCCCAAACCACCACCGGCCACCATGGGCAGCCGACCTGGCGGAACTCCAGACGTCCACGCCGACCGCCATGGCCTCCAGCAACTCCAGCGCCCCCAGATACCCGCCTCCATGTCTGCCCCCGCCGGCCGCCTGCCGCGCCTGCTGCCCGCCGACCTCTCCTCCTACACCGACTCGTACCTGCCGACTGCAGCCATCCCACCGTCCGCGACTTCCCTCGCCGAGCTCGCCCACCTGATCCGCCTCCAGGGCTACCAGGAGCAGCGCAAGACGCATGCCCGCGTGCGCCTGCACCGCTGGCTGGTCTCGAGCGCCCTCTCCGCACGTCTGGTACACTGCGGCGAGCTGGCCTACCGCACGCTGGTCGACAACTTCCGCTCCGACGACAAGAAGTCGTTCGCCTCTCTCTACAACGCCCTCAACGATGTCCGCAACTCGTGCGATGCCACGCGGCAATATGCCCTCTTGGAGCCGGATCTGGAGTTTGGCAAGTCCAAGAACTTCCGGAGCGAGAAGCCTCTCTCTGCCTCCACTTTCCTCAATGAAGTCCCGTCCAAGATTCTGGACAACCTTCTCGATTTCATTTCCGAAATCCGTACGAACCCAGAATTTCTTGCTGCTCGTATTTCCAGTCTCTCGCAGCAAGAGCTCACTTCTCTCACGTCTTTCCGTCAGACCATGGACCCGATTGACTCGGTCATGTTTGCAAATGCCCGTAGCCGCAACGCTCCCTCGCAGAAGGCCCAACAGCAAGGAACAAGCCCGGTAGAGCGTCTGCTATCTTTCCAGCGCCACGATCCGCTGTCTGCCCTAGTCTACACCATCTTCGCTAATTCATCCGGACCCGACTCGGCAGAGGACCTTCGCCGCACAGATGTATGGGCCACTGTTTGTGCCAAGCTGATCAAGAACAACAACCCCAACTTCATCCGCACTGTGCTCGATGTCTGGGCCGGCATGCGAGAATGGCCCGGAAAGACCAATTTGGAGCTTTATCTTATGCAGACCCTCCAGGATGGCCAGTTTCTGCTCGAGAAGCCCGAGGAGCAGGCCGCACGACCCGGAATGCAAGCGACCCCGCGCTCCAGCAAGGACACCATCGCAGCAGACGAGTTCTTTGACAAGGCTGTCAAGCGTTTGTTCGAGGTCGTTGACGATGAGCCCAGTGCCGGCGGTATCCCAGAAGGAGTCTTGGAGATTGGAAATGCCATCCTTCGCAAGCTGGAGGACGAGAAGAGCCTGCGCAGGGCTTCGCAAAATTTCTTTGTTTCGCGTTGGCTCTTCTCTACCTTCCTCATGAACGCCATCATCCATCCCGAGGCATGTCTACCCTTTCTGACGCAAGAACTGCGAAACTAACACTAAACAGACCCATGGTATCATGATCGGCCACCACATCAGTGAGCATGCTCGCATCAAGATTCTGAAAGAGGTCGCCATACGAGCGCAGAAATATGTCGTGAACATGACCTACAACTGGTATGGCGCTATGCTGGAGTACCCTTGGGCCATCAGCTAACAAATTGTAGGAAGCAGAAAAACGAAATCCTCCCAGAGATCCGCACACACATCGAGAACATCCTTGCCCGGTTCAAGCACACCAAGACACCCTCAAAGCCAATTTTGCTACCCGCAAAGGCTATAACATCACCCAGAGAAACTGTGGAGGTTCAGCCATTCATTGTCTTGTCACCAGCCGACATTGTCACCCTGGTCAACGCTCTATTCCCGGAGCGACGTCCGTCATCCAGCCACATGGACAATGACAGCCAGCGCCGTACGGGTCTGGCTTCCTCTGCTTCTTCCATGTCCGGAATGTCGGTTCCATTCCGCAATGCCGCCGCTTCCGTGACTGACGCAAGCTCTATCCTGAGTGCCAGTGCTTCTTCAATGACCAGTGACCAGACCTCGCGCGAGCCACTTCTGGACAGCAACCCGGTATCCGGCGAATCACCGACAGAGATGAAGCCTGCACCAACAGAGCAATACGGAAGACAGCTGCGAATGGCATGTTCTGAGATGACTCGCCTCCTAGGTTTCGAAGCCACATCAGGCTCTTGCCATCCGTGCGCAGAGCGATGGGCTGTTCTTTACATCTCCGCCGATGGAAAGCAGCTGAAGCCGCGTATGCGCAAAGACTTTGATGATGAGGATGAGCACGACGAGGACTCACCAGACAGCGACAGCAGCGACGACGAAGAGGGCGGGAACAGGTTCGATCTTGGCAACGACTACCACCAGCTGAAAGAGGCAATCGCCAAGCTGGTGGAGGAGTACGAGATTCCCAAGGATCTTGCGCCCGACAGCGAATCGAAGAACTTCAGCAACAGAATGACGACCCGCAAAAGCACTCGTGGACGTGGCCCAGTACGCAACGTCAGCGAAAACCTCGGATCACGCAACCCATACAACTCCACTCAGAGCCAAAGCCAGCTTACCAACATGATTGCCAGCCAAAGAAACGTCTCGTCACGGCGCTCACCACAATTTCCGAGAAGTCACAGCAACCCTCAAGTCGGCGAGAAGCAAGAGAACAACTCAGTTCTGGTCACCATGCTTGAGACTGCCATGTACCAGTGTCAAGCACGATCCGATTTCGTCAATGCGCATATGTACTACAAGACATTGCAGAGTCTGAAAAGACTCAGCTCTCCGACATTGGTCAAGAACGGCTACGCAGCCCTTCTCAACTACTTCTCCCGCAGCCCGCGCGACCTCCTCAGCAAGGCAGCCAATGCCATTGAAGAGTTCGAGGCCTGGTTCGTGTGGCTCAAGCAGTCCCAGGAGCGGTCAGATGGTATGGTCGAAGAGATGATGCTCACGTTCAAGAATCTTCGAGACAAGATGTGGTACATCACAGATGTCCGCACTTCCAAGCCATACGAGGACGCCAGGAACGTTGCGCTTGCTCTCAAGATTATGGACCAACAGTCAAAGATGCTCAACGTCCGGGGCCCTTCAGGCTCCCAACCGCGAAACAGCAACAGCTTCTTGCGCCAGAACGAAGCTCAGCTGGTTGACCTCATGTCAGCCTCTCAAGATTTCGGTGGTCCGAACAAGCTGTCAGATGAGCAGTCGCAAATCACGCTGAAGTGGCTTATGCAATACAGCGTAGAGAACTTCTGCAAAGGCGAAGAGCGGATACATCGTTTCTGTCTCGAAGTCGACAAGTGCGTCACCAAGGTCATTGGTGAGGGCGTCCTTGATGGGCCCGTGCTCTGGGCCAGCGACCTCTACAAGCGCGACCAACAAATTCTGGAGAGTGGACGGCAGAAGGGCGACCTGTTTCTGACTGGTGTTGGCACTCTTTCCATCGCCGGTGATGAGGAGTACGAGACCCACGGCCGACCTGGTTCTCGTAGCCATGACTTCTCGCAACGACCAAGCCAAGGTAGTCTGCGTGCCGCAGCTAACCGTAATGGATCTTCCAGTTTCGACCAGAGCCCCTGGGGAAGAAACCCCATGGATGCCCCCGACTACTTCGGCGGGTCTTCACCCGTTCATGCAATCGACTCTATGGCTACTTTCTGGTCACCGTTCCAGACCCAAGCGCAGTCTCCTACCAACGCCACGAGCATCCGACCACGTACCGCATCATCATCGAAGGGTACGGTGATGCTGAAGCAATCTGCAATGGTCAACGAAGACAAGCGCCGCTTCATGCTCGATCTTAAGCAAACACTCACAGGCCTGCTTCTGAGTGACCTCGGAACAATGGTCTTCGCCAACGGCAGCGAGACAGACTCATGGTTCGGTGGTGATTTGCTAGACGACTGCTTCGAGCGTAGAGATGAAGAAGAACGGAAACGCAAGAAGCAGCTCGCCAAGAAGAGCATGAAGAACATCCGGAAGCAGACCCTGCCCGACTCACGCAACTTGCCGCTGGAGACGCTCGGCCGCAACGAGCGTGGAACAGCGGCCCCGCCTGTTGCAACTTTCCAACACGCCAGTGCATCCGACGCTCACCAATCTGCCGGCGAGCAATCTTCGACTTCCAGCGACGCGACTTCGCGTTCCGTTGGCAACGCCACAGCGAAGAAGGCTGGGCTACTCGAGTTCCCGTACAACGTTGCTTTCCGACGGCTGTTGGGCAGGTTCCAGACACATCCCAACCCATACTCTAAACTGCATGCACTGTATGAGCTAGAGCTGCTCATCATAGCATCACTCTCTTCTCGAACGGGCCGCTCGTACAACAACCGTCGGGAGACTCTTCCCCCAGTGCCTCAATCACCCACCCTTGGCACCATGCCAGAGCTCAGTTCTCGTGAGCCGGCTACTCAAACTTCTCGTGCACAAAACCTCGAGGAAGCCATCGCCAACTGCGAGGAGCGCCGCTCTCACAGCATGAGCGTGGAACGCGTGAGCAACGCTTCTCCCCTGCCTCGCAACGGTGCACGCTCTCCAGTTGGACCACCAAGCACAGACATGATCGTTGAAGTCATCCAAGGCCTCTTCCGCGACGCTAACATTCGACCCAAGACCCTGTTCCGAGACCTGCAGTACATCGCATCTTTCGTGCCTGCGCAGATGCTGGACAAGACTGCACGAGGCAAGGCATTCTGGGATGTCGGTCTCGCTGCTCTTGGCCTCAAGCAAGACGTGTGCCGAATCATGGTAGAGCTCGTCGATGAGGTCATCACCCAGAACTCGAAGCGCGATGCAGGCAAAGTCAGCAGTGGAGCTGCTGTCGAGAAGGCTGGTGCATCGTCTACTACACCAGCTCCGGTTGATGAACCGCTATCCAAGTACACCATGGAGGATGCCGGACGCATGCTTCTTATCACTGCCAAGGAGGGCGACGCAGTGGCCGAGCGTGAGCTTGCGATCTTTTACCTCACATCGCCCGAGCTTGTTCATCGCACAGTCCTGCCGCTCACCAGGCCCAGCGAGGTTTTCAAGACTGAGCTTCTCAACCGTGAGAGGAAAGCGTCGCAAGACCCCGCCCGCAGCGACCCAATGACTATGTGTGTCGCGCAACACTGGATGGAGCAGTCCATGAAGGGCGGCGACCAGCTTGCCGCCAAGTACTTGCGCCAGCGCAGCGAGCTGGAGAACATCAACCCGAGCAGGGCATAGTATGTCTTTTTCCGCATTTGGTGTTCGACTCTGCATTGATACCCCCGATCCGTCGACCTATTCTTCATTACCAGCGATACTGCGCCAACCTTTATTCATGCATTTTCGCCATGCGCACAACATCTTTACGGCCTATATACAACCATGACGGCCGGTCAAGCATAGCGAGGAGTTTCCCCATTTTATGTCTTTCACATTACCATCAAGGTTTTCGACTTTAAGCAAGCATGATTCCCCCTGTCGCCTTGATCTTCTTCTATTTGCGTTCTAGTTTATGTCTTCTTCGTCTTATAACTTTACTCTTTTTTTTTCAAACCCGGCGCAACATGAAGGCTTCGACGATATATGACGCTTGTAGATCCACAGGAAAGGGTACAACGGATGGGATACCAAATATACCAGGGGCTTCTCCAGGAACATATGGAGCTCGCGCAAGGCCAGTGCTCCATTACTTGTCTTCCTCGGATTGTTTTCCACCGATGGCTTTCTATATGCATGAGAATAGGCTTCTTCAAGGATACGACAACGAATCTCCTTGGACATGAACGATATCCTTTTTGGGCTGGTATCTGATGTTTACATACCATATAGCGTAGATTTCTCTAGCTCTGCTGGGTAGTAACGGCATTGGAATGGATAAATTGTGCAAAAGTAATGGACTGTGTGAGTTTGTTGATGTGATCATGATTGAGCGAATGTAATGGACTGTAAGATGGTGTTGCAGTAAGTTGGATGCCTGGTATAGTGCACGCCGAGGATGGAATACATTGACTGTCCTACTCAACACAGCAAAGCCACCATCAACAACCCCAACCCCACCATCAACATCTCAATATCCTCAACACAGGTACCTCACACGAAACACCATTTCTTAAACATCCCTCCACGAACTGCGAGCTGGACGAGGCGAATCCTCCGGGCTGTCCTCCGCATGCGCCTGATGCATACTCGTCCCACACATACGGTTCGCCGGGTCGTCGACACCAGCACCGTGGCTTGGAGTCATACCAGTCATCCTCGGGCGCATGGGTAGACGAGTAGGCTCTTGGAACGACAAACTGCGGTGAGCACTTGGTTCGGCGCCGAAGAGTTTACGACGTGCCTCTGCAGCGGCGGAGTGGGCGGTCTTGGGAGCGGGAGTGGACTTGTTGCTGGACTTTTTGGAAGGATCTACGTCGGGGAGCGGGAATAGAGGTCGAAATGATGGTGCGCCTTGCTCGCGCAGATCAATTGTTACTACCTTGTTATAGGCCTTCCGTGGATCTTTGGCATGCCAAGTAGGGGGTTGCGTGGAAGTCTGGACGTACTCATCGGCTAGGTCTTGGGACTGATCCCATAGGTTTTGGAGCTCTTTCAACAGCCTCTGGTCGTTGGCAGCTTGGTTTTGTACCCCGTGAGAGCTTTCGCGGCCGTAGAAGCGGAATGGGTCGAGCTCGGCGGCCACTGTCTGCTTGGGTGGTGATTCTACGCGCTTAAAGGTTAATTTCTGCTCTTGGACGGGCTTTTGGTCTTGTTTTGCAGGGTTCTGTTGGAGGAAAACAATGGGTTTCGGTGCTTGGTCTGCTTGGCGAATGATCACGTTGCGGCTTGGAGGATTAGCTGTGATAGTGTGGATTTGAGAAGGTTGTTGGTCTGCTTGGCGGACATGCGCATGACGAAGTTGGTGATCAGCTGGGGATGCTTGAATCTGAGCAGCTTCCTTCTTATCCTGCGTAGTCCGCTTAGGGAGGAATTTCGCATTCGGTCCAGGTACCATGCGCAACCCAGTGGAACTATCGCCTTCCAACTGTATAATATTCTTACTGAGCAACTTCGCTTCGATGTCGGTAAGGGTATCCAGGAATGCTAGACAATCGTCCATGTTTGCAAAGTCAGCTCCACCTACGGAGACGGGTCCGTCGGACTGGGTTGCCACACGGAACCGGCCGAGGCGGTGATGCTGAGGCTGCTCGTTCGGAGAGCTGAGGATGAGCGTGTCGGACGTGTGAGGAGCGTGGGATGACTGAAGGGAGTCACCATGGTCTTCGGCATGACCTTGTGCGTGTAGCTCAGCAGAATCGTTGATATATTCGACATAACGGGAGATCAACTCCTCGCCTCCCTCAAAAGCGATAACATCCCACACCCACTGAAAGTCAACTGGCATGCCGAATTCATCAAATATCGGAAAGCCATGACCAGACTCCCACGCGTACATCTCCAAGTCGTCGAGGTACTGGGAGCCTTCGAGCCAGTCGCTGATGATACTTCGCACTTCGAGGTTGTTCTGGTGAGTGGGACCGCTTGGTCCTTCTGAGGGGTGTGGTGGAGTCCGTTCTAGGTATGCAGCAAGCGCTTCGAGATCTTGGGGCGGCATGGGTTGTTGGGTGTCCAAGTGGATTGGTAGTGTGAAGTAGAGCTCGGAACCGCTTGGAAGACGCACACGGTGCGCATCGGGGTGCATGATGAACTCGGCGCAGCGCCTATCGCTAGCATGTAGGAAGGAAGGCATGTTCTGGAAAGTTGATGGTAAGATGTACTTGATAGATAGTGCTCTCGTTAATTTGCTGGTGTTTTGATGATGTGAGGGTTTAGTGGATATGGTAGAGTAGGGGAGGAAAAGAGGACTTATATATCTACCATATGTGACAGTTCACCTCTGTGAAGTTTGCACTCTTGAAGCCAGGTAGCGTGTATGTTGGACCATGGTGTTTGAACCCAGCGCACCAAACCGTGGAAGATGTACTTCGATCACTCGTAGGGCTCTGTGCTGGCATGCCAGATTTCATAGACATAACTAGTTATTGAAGCATAAGTATTATCAGCTGTGTATCCAGCGTAGGTGCGAGTGTTTTCGTTGAACACAGTAATTTTGCCTTGGGTTGGATATGATTGCGGACTATGTGAATGGCTCATTGGCTCTACGTTCAGTGTCTTCCTGCGCGATTTCGCTTTCCTACTCTGCCACATGCGCTCTTTCAGCGTCTTCGCTGTCTATGCCCTCGACTATACACCCTTTGATAGCAGGCAAGCGTGACAATTGCGTAGTGTCGGGCTAGAATTAGTGTCGATGTCGATTACCGTTAGAATCATGTGACTTGATGGCAATCATACCATATATCATAACGTCCCAGTGTTTGTCGCTGCACTGAGGAGATGGTCAGAAGCAAAACAACGACCACAGGATTCAATGATAGAATCCTCCATCCGAGCAATATGGACAACGCGGCGTATTGAGCAAGTGCTACTGATAGGCGCGGTCCTGGGTTGCCAAGCCGCCATCGCTACGATGTTTCCAAACTTGGCTGAGAATAAGTGCTGGCATACGTGAAGAGCTCAAGTAAGATGCACATTGAGGAAAATGTTGAGCGAAACAATAGCGATTGCGATTTAGGAAAGGATTGTTCCAAGGTCTGGGGCGATGATTGTTCAGAAGCGCACGAGCGATAAGATGCACTCATGGCTGAGTCCGGTACTGGATCGATGCGCAAAGACGTGCGGCAGATATGAGTCAGGTGATGATGTCACGGACGGTGCAATTCAAACGATGATGAGGAGATGGAACGAGGAGTGCCGAAGGGAGAAGCAGAGACCCATGATGATTACAAAGCGGCACCAGATCCGCTAGCCTCGGGCTTCGGAACCATCCAACAACACCAGTACCTGCCATGGAAAGAACTCCAACACGTAGCCACGAAAGCGAAGTCGACACCATACCGCGTCTCTCGATTAAGATACTAGCAATATACATGCATTTAGGTTCATCCGTCTTACAATGATTCAAAGCTCTTACACGAGCGTGAAGTTCAGGTTCTTTCACTACCCCCCAACAGCGCGTCCAACCAACGTGAGCGCAGTGACTTCGTCTCCTTCATGAACCCCAGCCGAGTCCCCAAAAGCTTGCGATCTGGGTCAATCTTCCCCTGCATCTCGGTATCCGACGCGCGACGTGCAGCTATGTGCATCTCGCGGTCTTTCCGGAAAGTCATTGCGGGCGTTGGCTCGGGGTGATGTGAATGCTGTGTTGACAATTTCGTCTGGAAAGACTCTTTGCGAGGGGATGAGAGCCAGATTTGGTGGGCCTCGACGTCGCGGTAGTGTTGCCATGCTGCTCGGGCGCTGGTGTCGGATGGTGTGGTGGGAGACTGTTTGCATTTAATTAGGTTGTGAGTGTCGTGATAACGGGTGCGACCTTCCTTCATCTCAGGAGCTGTAGCATTAGTGAATGCAGGCTTCAAGGCGGTCTTGTGAAAGCTTCGGGCTTGAAGCATCGCGATGCGGGCGGTGGAGGAAAACATGTTTGTAGGGTCTCTTGAGGCGACTTGTCAGAGCTTTCGCAATGTGGAAGTGTGAAAGGGGATTATATGATCAAATATGTGTTGTTGTATCTATGTGCAAAAGCCGAAATATGTTTGTGAAAACACAAGGAAGGGTGTGTCTTATCAACGTAACCATGGGTCGGCTGTGTGAGTCGACCGATGTGACCCAATGATATGACGCTGCATATGGCCAGAAGATGTAGGCAGAGGCTGCATAAACAGAACCCTTTCCCAATGCTGGACTGAGAAATGTATGGGGCTGAAGTAAGAGTGTCGGAAGGGAGGTAGTGCGTCTGGGAGTCCTGGAATGTAAGACCTACTCATAGTTGGACGTCGACATTTGCAGAAGTCACCGCGTAGTTTAGCCTGACGCCATGTTCGGTAGACAGTAGGAAATGGAGGAAACCTTCCAAATACCGTTTTCCAGCACATCTCGCATGCATATCGTGCTCGATCGATGGGGAGTTCTACGATTATGTATGAGCACCAGCACTGGAAACATACGGTGCGCATGCATTTCATGCAAGATTTGACGTCGCTCAAACCACCGAGAGCATCGCAGATGGCCGACTTCCAGTTATTGGATATCCTGGGAGTAGTATCTATAGTCTTCTTGCGAAGTGGTTTTTCGCAAGTGGTCAATCTTACCAAGCAGATTGCGCAGGGTCGGCAAGCCGTGCTTCGGGTAGTCTGCTAACGGACTCTTGTCACAACTACAGGGTCTGGAGACTAGTTGGAACGGATACAGGTCTTCCCGCTTAGGTAGAGCGGGCGCGTTTGGTCCTTTCATGATGAGTCGAAAGTCTGAGCTGCTGATTGCAAGTGCTTGAAAGTCAGCAGGGCGTAGATGGGGACATAGCGCCTCAAGGATAGGGTATTGGTGAACAGCGTCAAGGAGGTTGGCCATTCTGTCCGTCGTGGAGAAGGGGCTGGTGGAAGAGTTCAATACAAACTACATGCTGACGATCCGTTAAATAATGTTGAACAAGTCATTCAGTGGTTTCAGTGGCTCCCGCAATATGTGACCATGGTACGCGCTGTTGTGCTCGTTGCTGCCTATGCAAGTCCAAGGTTGCGACATGGCTACGTAGGTAGAGTGGCTCTGTGTACTCAGGTACTGAGGTCAAATCAGGGTGAGACGGGTGGCGCAGTAGTAGCAGGAAGATGTATCGAAAAATATGGTCTTCAGCGCTCAAACGAGAAGCAACAGAGAACCGTGGTATCTGCTAGCGTGATGGTGAAGGGGAAGGGAAGAGGGAAGAGCAGCGATGCGGAGGGTAGATTGCTCTGATTGGCTCGGCGCACGTGCCATCCGAAGCTCCACCGGAAAGCATCGCGAGCTTCATGTCCAGTTCAAACCAACCCACGTCACGCGCAAGCAACACGTTGCTTCCTCTCGCTCACCTAACCCGCAATCATCCACCTCGAGTCTCACCGGTCGAAGAGATCGGTCCGAGTCTCTACAACTTCGCGACATAAGCCCGCAGCAAGTCGCAACCTTTTCCATAAGACACGATACCGCGAAACATTACGCAAGCATCCTTCGGTCCCTCGCAGAAAACTTTGAAGAAAACGGCCTAGGCGCGCTCACGTACCGGCTGAGTAACGCACTTCCACCAAATATCCGAACCAGCGGTTTTTGAAACAGCATTCTCCCAATGGCACTAAACGCCTACCTAAACAGTAAGTCTCGCCTCTACAGCTCCTTGCCATGTCATTCTCCTAACAATTTCTAGAGCGGGTATCAGTACTCACCCTCGATGGCCGCACCATGGTCGGGCTCCTCCACTCGTGTGACGGCAGCATGAACCTCGTCCTCCAAGAAGCCGTCGAGCGCATCATCCGACCGATAGAAGACGAAGAACCCAGTGAAGAGGTGCCTCTTGGGCTATACATCATACGGGGTGATAGCGTGGCAGTGGTGGGTAGAGTGGATGAGGAGATTGACACGAAGATTGACTGGGGCAAGGTGCATGGCGAGGTGCTGGGCGGAACGAGACATACCTGAGCGGGCGGGAGGCAGCGATACGGGAACGGAAGATGTCACGCGAAAAATGCATACTCAAGGAACCAAGGGAGCTCAAGGATAGCGCCCAGAGCGACGAATCTCCGCGGTTTGGGACGACACCGGCATCAGAAGAAACTGAGCGCATAATGCATGACGGGCGCTATTTGGATTGGATAAAGACAATATGCATACAAGGAGGAAACGATACCCACGAAAGCGCAAATATAACGCTGAGTATGTCATCTCACATAAACATTTCATGCACCTGTACTGACCTTCCAGACTATGAAATGCATTTGCTTGTATATACGTCAATGTCGCAGAATCGACAGACCGTAGCATACCCATGCTACTTGATATTGACGCCTTGCCATGCGTCATGCCTATGTGAAGTTCCTTCAATGCGACTACTCGTAGCCCGATGCAACCACCCTGCTCACTGTATACTCCTTCCCACGCCCTGTCCAATCCCCACAATATTCTTATGATCGTTAGGGTTTGCAGCAGCTTCGTACAGCACAGAAACAGCCTCCTTGTTCAGCTTCATAAAGTCTCCCTTGAACGCCAGATAGCTTATTCGTGTCTCGTCCTCCTCGCCATTACTCCAGTTATCCTCAAAGAACAAGCTCAGACTACGTGTAGTGCCGAACTTTGCCCTCTTGACGGGTATCTCCTGCACCTCGCTCGTCTGGCTGATCTCGAGTATCTGTGTAGGTTCCTTCTCGGCGGCCGTCTCGAAATCGAGCGAGTCTTCGTTGACGAAGACTTTGAGGGTCTTGGGACAGTCGGGGCCGGGGCTTGTACGCAAGATGATGGAGTGTAGGCGGACTTGGCCCGTGAAGGGGACCGTCATGAGGATCTGTTCGTCGGCGCTGCTCTTCAGCTCGGGTTCCGGATCGAGACGCTGCGCCCAAGTCTTCTGGCAGATTGCGCGGCCGCTGTTGGATTCATCTTCGTTGAGGGTGACAAGCTTGGGGAAGTCGAGTTGTTCGTAAAGTATGTTCTGTAGCGCGGGCGTGATGTCATCGCTGTGGTCGTGGCCGTCGCCATGCGAGTGGTCGTGATGCTCGTCGTGACAGTGTGAGTGCGACATGTTTGCTGGGGTTGTCGGGTGTGTTTGCTCGGTAAGGCTGATGG